AGCCAATACTTTATAATAACTTTAAATAGAATATAACCTATAAAATATTGAATCATTCTGCTGTAATCTGAAACTAGTATTATAATTCAACTATACTACAATAAAAATAAAATAACATGAAAGTTAGAGGCTATTTTCATTTCTCTTTTATAGGTGAGGAAATTGAGGCACAAGAGAGAATAAGTGCCTTAATCAAGGTCACAAAGTTAGTGGTAGAACAAAATTCAGAATCAAAGTACTCAGCACCCAGGAACTGCATCTTAAACTATCTTAAACTGTTAGAGATTTGGTTAAGGAGGTAGTAACTGGGCTGGGCTTTTACAAGGTGTTCATCTTTAAGTTAGAGACAAGAATAGGGTGAACACCCCAGTGGGAAGGAGGGTGTGATGATAGAAGAGAAACTACAAAGTCATGATGTGATATATTATGGAAATAAAGTTGGGATGAATTTGATTCTTAGAGGATTTTGAATTTCATTGAGTAAATTCTTCATGAGGTGGAAAATAGGGAGCCATTAAAAGATTTTTTTTTAATAGTCACATGATGAAAGCCATATTTATAGACAATTAGTCTTTAATGAGCATGAAGGTGAACTGAAAGGTGAAAAGACTAAGAGTCATGGAGTTCAGTTGGAAAGCTGTTATAACAGTTTAAGTAAGCTAGGCTAGGAAGAGAAAGGCCAAAGAAACAATATGAAAGAATAATTATCAAAATCATTAGCTGGATAGAGAGAATGGAATTGAGTCAAGGATACATTTCAAATTTTTAGTGTAGATTATTGAGGCATTGTGTTGTGTCACTGAAAAAGACAAAGAAGTTTGGAGGCACAAAGATTTGTTGAGTTTGAGATGCCTGACTAGACAGTAAAACTCTCTGAGAGCAAGATAGTGTTAATTATTTTGTCTTGGCCTTAGCAACATGATAGGTACAGTGCCTAGCACATAGTAGATTGTTAATAAGTATTTTTTAAATATATGATTGCATGTGGTCATGTAAGATAATGAAACAAAACTTAGTAGGCATCTATAAGACTACAATTTCAGCAAGGGAATAAAGTGGAGATACAGATTTAGGTGTTGACTGAATAGAGGAGAGTTCTATAAAGTCATGAGAATACACTAACTCTTGAAAGAGAGTTTTTTTTTGAAAAAAAAAAATTCAGAAGACCTAGTATAGGAACCTTCTACTTGAGGTCTTAAAGGACTTCCTTCAACTTAAAAATTAAGGGGAAAAAATGCTTATTTATTGTTTGTGTCACAAGTCTTTTTGGATTAAATTCTGCCTGTGGAGCTTATGGTATGTTGATTAGTTTGACACATTTTTTCTTTCAGTGTAAGCCACTGAGGTACAGCTAATACATAAGAATGTAAAGTGGGCTAGTCTGTCTTACTCAGATCCTATATCATTTGATAAAGAACATCTCAGCCTGCTTTGTTTCAAATGAGAAACACCTAATGATTATTTCATTCTACTATTACATAGTTGGAAAACAGAAACCTCCAAAACCATGAGGAGACCACGTAAAGAATGCTCTGTAAGTTAGTTTTTGAAGTCTCACTGAACTGCTTAAAACTGATCAATTGTTTTAGCTACCAACAGAATATTTATCAGCAAGCACAGTATTGTGGTAATTTGTATCTGAATGATAATAGACTATATATACAACTTTGAAGCTGGTTATAATGAAGTAATTAAACTATTTGTATTGAAATACAATAATTTATCCTATTTCTAAAATATATATTTTGCCTAAAAGTAGAAGTTTTTCAAACAAAACAATTAGGATCTGAGAAAAAAAAATTACTGACTTGAACATTGGTGTGAACAACTCTAAGATCTACTCTTTGAGATTGAAAAAATAAACATATATTATGTTTTGATCTTCTCAGTTCCATAATTTAACGAGTACATGGAAATGATCCATGGAGATGAGTTGATCTTACAGTGAGTGTTCCCAGTTTTTGTCCTAAGTTGTCTGGATAAATAATGTCTACTAATTCTTATGCTGTATTAGAGAAAGGCTACTGAATTTGGTCTCCTTTTCCTTCAGCCAGTGATGCATTTATTCTAACCCACAGGACTTGTTATCTCCCTTGAGGTGGTCTCTTTCTTCCATGTTATCACTCTTTGGTAGTGCTTGTACTTGGCAAGGAGTGATCCTCCACTAAATCCCCTTTATGCTCTTTCTTCAATGGTAAAGTAATACATTGATTGCCTTAGTAAGTGCAAGGTAAAACTTAAGGTCAGCCCTCAAACCCTAGGCTATTAGTAAGTATGAGGTTAAATTATTTATTTGCAATGACTTTATTTATTAAGTTCATAAATTTAATTAATTTATTTTAAAATCTGAAATTACAGAGAAATGTACACAAATCTTTTATAGAATCTATTCTAAAAGTTATATTTTTCTATTTTTTTATTTTGGATACTGAAGAAACATGATCAATTTGGGAGTATCTTAACTTTCTCCTTGATGTCTTGGTGTAATATCCTATTGTTAACTTTTTCCTATTGATGCGATGCCTCATACACTCGTTGTCTTTTGACTGATAATAAATCAATCAACAGCACAGTAATAGAAACAAGTGTGGTGCCTGCCCACATGAAGCAACGTGCGCTAAGGTGCTGAGAAAGCAATGAGATCAAATTCATGTGTAGTAATTCACTTCTATAGTGCATGTTACTAATGCCCGCCAGCCTTCCGAATTAGCGGATAGAGTTATTCAGCCTTAGAATGAACATTCATTGAAAAATCTTCATATGCTACATTAATTAGAACCTAATACATAAATGTCTCTATTTAATACAATTAAAGCAAAGAACTAGAGAATTATGTTGCTAAAATGAGAACCATACAGACAGAAGAGTTTGGAAAACACCCTTTTTGAGCTCTATTGAAAACAATTAGCAATACAGTGCTAATCCTAGGGAAAAAAATGGATTTGAGAGAAAGTACAATACTTAATACTTCTGGGCTTTATTATGGGCCAGACACTATGTTCAGTCCTTTATACTTATTATCTTGTTTAAACTATGTACAAGTATTAGACTACTTTTCCGGGGTGGGAGGGGGTGGGGACTGGGATATAGAAAGGTTAAGAATGTTCCCAAGTTCACATGGTTAGTTGATGACACAGCATACTGGTGTACCGCCATCCACCACGGGAAAGTCATTACCTCAGAGAATAAAGGGATTATTTTACATATTCACTAAAAGCAGAAGGGAAAAAATAAAAATAATCAAAGAAACAGAACTTTTAAAATCAAACAGATGATAATTTGAGAGAATGGTGTAGCAGGAAAGGTTCCTGAGAAAGACAATTAAACGTCTATTTTTGAGCTTTTAAAAATAAGATAGCTTCTATTGTGATCTCTAACTGTTTAAATACTACTCTATCTCTTAATTCTCACCCCCAAGTCCTATAATTCAATATGAAAATGCTGATTTTCTTAAAAGAAGAAATATGTACATACTGCATGTTTCATTCCAGAACCCTCAAAGCTGGTTCTTAACTTACTTGGACATGCTTTTTGTATGGCAAAATTTCCTCCACTTAAGCCAAAGAGTTTATTTTCTACTGTATTATTATTTATAAATATAAAGAGCTGAGAATATTTTTATGAGTTTAAACAAATATCAATTATTAAAATATTAATTCATTAATGAGAAATATTTTAATGTAAACATTAAAATCATTTAAAAGCATATTTGCACAATGTTAATTTCAAGTTAGCACAGTATTACCATATAGAAAATCAAAATAATAATGTTATAGCAGATACTAAAATTAAGATAATTTTCTATATCAGTTTCGTTAGATTTAAAAAATTTTTTTTCTTTTGGAAAAAATCATATCTCCAGAGAATGAAAGTTATTTTTCCTAAGTTAAGCTATAATTTTCAATATAGTTAAAGTGATTTGATAAGTTCCTGTGAACTACTTATTCAGAATTCTTTATTCCTTCTCAAAATTATATTGTCACATGTCTCTTTGTCACATTGTTTATGACTATACAAACTGACAATCTACCTCAGTTCTTCTATTTGTAAAATGTCATGGGAAATGTATTTTATATTAATGTCTTAGTGGAATATTATAATGAAAGTGTAAAGATAAGATTCATATTGTTATTTGTAGCATCTTAGATAAACATATTCTGTATGAATAACAAAGATGCATGTTTAAATCTTTTTTTTCCCCTTTAATATCTCCTGGCTCTGATCCTTTAAAAACAGCTCTTAAAATTGTAATATTCTTCCTGAAACTTTACTGATTTTCATTACAAGTTCATGTATTCAGATTAAAAGCTCTGTGGGTGAATTATCTAAAGTGACTATTTATAAATATTGAGGAATTCACATGCACTAAAATAGACTAAGCTATTCCTAATGATAAGAAAGGAGAAAAAGGTTTTTTTAAATTTTTTTTGGATCTTTTTGGTGGTAAATAAATTATATCAATAAAATCTGTTATCTTTAGAGCTCAAATGGACAGTATTAGAAAAGGTAATGCAGTCGTAACCCTTTACTTATGAGGAAGATAAATCCCAATGAGCTAAACAGCAAGCCCATTATCATACCACCGAAACAAAGGCAAGCATCTTGGCACAGAGCCCAGGTCTGTTGCACATCGCCACACCTGATGATTCCCTCAAAGAGGAGAAGATACAATCATTTTAATGAAGTACAGAGCACCCAATGTACTCTAATGTTTTGCTGGTTTATTTTTTTTAAAACAAATTGAGGCCATACCTCAATGGTGATCATACCTTCCCAACCGGAAAAGTGTGGCCCTCTAAATCATCACCAGTTGCAAGTGGTCTGCCCTCGCTGCTTGGAGCTTCTCTACAAAGGTATTGACAATTCCTCCACCTGTGGAACCAGCAGGTACAAAGTTGATCATGTTCTTATCAGGCTATTTCCAGACTGCAGACCTCAGTCACTAAACCAGTCAGACTTGTTTTCTTTTCTTGTTGCCAATGACTCTCATTATTTTCCAGCCTCCCAGCTCTGACCTAGCTGATAAAGATCAGATGGTGCCTGAATAGAAGGTGCCCCAGTTCTGGGTCCATGATGTACGGGTAAGTACTCAGCTTTTCTTGGTCAAAGTTATCAGTGGTGATAGAGGTTTATGATTCCTGAGACAGGCAGGACAGATGTTGGCAGGTGGAGAGTGCTTTAAAAATAAGAATTTCTCATGTGTGTTATTGTATTTTGTGTTAAAGTTTTCTTTTGTTGTTGTCTTTAAACGTAAGAATTTTTTTAAACAAGAGGTGGTCTTTTCTTTCTAAATGGTAGAAATAGAAATAACGTGCAGTAATATATTATATTACACATAAACATTTAGAAAAATCTATGCTTCAAAATTAAAATATTTAATATGGTTTATTTAGCTTCTTTAGAATGATCAATAGCTTGGTATAAATTTTTGTCTTACTTTGCTCATTTAAGTATATTCTGGAAAAAGTTGAAATATAAATGTAAAAGGAGAGTCTATTAGAGTTTGTATTTCTTTAACTCTAAATAATATAAAGTATCATAGCAATAGGATTATTGTATCTATCATATGAATGAAATGATGAAATTAAAAATTATTGAATTAACAAAATCCAGACTCTATATGACATTTGAAATAATTGAGCTTCAAAATAATTAATTAATGAATTTAAGGTAAATAAACTGTATTTATATTTATGTTCAGGTAACTTCAGGCTATTGTTTTTTACAGACTCAGAAATGAATAACTGATATTTGATGAGAGTGATTTAGTTCAAATTCCTATTTAGTCTAACCTTGCTTCTCAGAGGTTCTTAATCTCTCTACAGACACCAGTTTCCTAAATGTTCTGCACTGACTAATGTTTCAAACTTAATCATGATTTTGTGATAATTATAATTGTGCAATCATTTGATTTTTGTCTTCAATTAAATATAGTACTTTAAGCCTGTAGGCATTAACACTTAAACAATGAGTGTTCTTGCCCTCCCTAATTTACTGTCAAATAATAGCAGAGCCTGAGGAAGACTGCCCATTTCATTCATTTAGCTTATCCCCATGGATCCTTTCACAACAGCATGATGTAGCATATCCTCTGTATTTCTTACTAAATATGAAAAAGTGTATTTCTTATTTACCAAGATAAAGTTAGGATAAGACAAAATGTACAGGAGAAAAAACTTACTTTGATATTTAACAAGCTTCCTATAAATATAATACGTTAACAACTTCAGTTTTAAAAAATTAGCAAAGGGCTTGAAGTTCTCTCATTTTTTTTTTTTTCAGAATTCTGCGGTATAGCTTTTCTATCAGCCTGGTTCTCTTCTTCCCAATTTTTGGCATTGTTCTACTCACTCACTTTTCCAATCTGAAAGTATTGTTGCAGACATGAAACTTCTGTATTGAAGCCTCATCAGCTTTGATCCAGAGCTTATTGTTCTGGGGATTTAAAGTATCTTTCAATTAGGATCCCAGATGAGTATTATTTTTAACACAGATATTTTAGACAGAATTCTAAAAACACGAATTGTGCCATAGAAGTAAGATAAGAAGGTTAGCAAGTGGTTCATTTAATTCATTTGTAAAGGTATTTTGTGCAAGGGATCTAGTCTCTCAAAGAGTAAATAAGCTAAATATATGATGGCTTCTTAGCAGAAGTTCTTTGTCATTGATGTGGTGGAAAGAATACTAGTATGAACTTTAGATGTGTTCTAGATTCAGCTTTGTGCTTATTTGTCTGGACAAGTCACTTACCTCTCAAGACCTCACTTTTATCCATAAACTATAGGGAGAGTTTACACTAAAATAGATGGGTAGAGTGCTATCACTATTAATGGGACTTGAAATATTTTTTGTGGATAAGCATGAAGCTATTTTTGGTTTACTGATTCATAATTTGAGTATTTTGGTAGTAAGTTCACTTTGACTTTTTTCTTTGTTGTATTAAAAATAATTAAATAATATATGATATATTGTTTTACTATATCATATATAGTAAGTGTATTATATTGTGGAGCTGTTATTTTAAATATATGATTGTGTATCACACCCCACTGTGATGTAGAACATTTCTTACATGGGTCATAGTCAAAAATATTTTTAAAAACATCCCATTAGATAGCCGTAAAGTCTTTTTGAATACTTAAATTCTATGATTTCAAAAAGTTAATAGCTAATTAATATGGAGAACGTTAACCTTCTGAAGGCCTTAGAGAACCACTTAAATTATCCTAGAGTGTTGATTATTTTTTCCCTAGTCCCTATATCTGGTGTGTCTACAAGTGAGACAGGGATAAGAGATGTTACTGGCAAGTAGGCTTAGAGGCAAAAGGCAAATCAACATGCCACACCCTGATGGCGTAATCTGATAAATGTTTTTTAAAAAAGTATAAACGAGGTATTATGGGGGTGCCCACTCAATCTCATAAAAGCTTCTCTGAGTATACAGTGATTGAGTTTAGTTTTTAAAATCAAGTAAGAATTAGCTGCAGGAGAAAGAAGGAGGTATTCTTGGGATGAGAGAACACAGCCCTTGTAAAAACCCAAGAGACTTGACATGCACTCACAAAGAGATGCTGGAAGTTATCAAATGAAACTGATTAGTCAGACTATGAAGGGCCTTTTATACCAGATTAAAATCTTTGAACTTTGAGAGTTGAGTAAAGACTGAAATGAGAGAAAGAAATGATGAAATTTGCAATTTAGAAATGTTACAGTAGAACACTAAAGCAGTGTGGTTCTACTATCTTTTTGGTACAGTTGCAGAACTAAGTGAAAGAAGTGCCAAGGAGACCATCTATGGGCATGCTGTTTCCCCTGCCAATAATCAGTGTTCCTTTTCACATTTGGTGAGACCCTATAGCCTTCCTGCCCTTGTGTCTTACACCTTATTTACTCCTGAAGCACAGCCATCCTATCTAAACTTGCATAATATATGGTATATACTTCCTCCTTTGGCACTTCTCTGTATGATTATTTGTTTACAATAATGTCTTCTTAGTTAAACAGAGCTGTCTGTATTCCCAGTGACAAACACATTGCTTGGCCCATTGTAGACTGTTCACAGTGACTTACATACATCTAAAGTCAAAGAACAGATACTAAGAATGTAGGAAAGGCCAGGAGTAAAGAAAAATTTCAGATTTGCTTTTCATTATATATTCAAGAAGAGCTATGAGATACTTGAGATATACTAATTCAGAAGGTAAATAAAAAGCTGAACAATAAAAAGAATTCATTCCAAGAAAACTTTTGTTGTTGGTGCTAGTGAGGATTTACTGTAGAAGACGGGAAAGCATCAGACACATGCTTATGGAATAGATTTTATAGTCTCATTTATTTGGTAATTCAACAAATACTTATGATTTTAGGTTATAGTGTACTAGTAGTACACTATACATACATGCTATATGTGCATATCTGCATACACTATTTACATTATATATACATGATATGTGTTGTGCATACGTATCATGTGTAGATACATACACATACCACATGCACATAAACAAATGCACACATAGACACATATATGAATGAAACAAACATATTCTCTCCTTTTACGGTGTTCACAATCTAAAAGAGGAGACAGGATAAAGTTGAGGTAAAAGGTTTTGTATTTTTTTCCAATAATTTTCTCTAATCACTTCATTTATCTTATAATTCCTGGATTTGATGATAATGCTGATGATAGTAACTGCCAGCTCTTTTAAAAAACAGATTTTCAATTCATACGATAACACTCTACAGTCGACTTTTGTGTATATTTAGATAAATGAAAGCTAAATTTGTGAAGTACATTTTAAAAACAATAAATACTGAAAAAAAATTCCTATTGTGCTTAAAGAAGCCTTGTAAAGATCTAAATTGGATCTCTCAACATTATTCAACAAATGTAGGAAGACAACACAGAAACCAATATCTTGACCAAGAAGACAAGTCTGTGTTGCATTGAGCAGTTATTTGCAGTAGTCTTTGAAAAGGATATTGTGTCATTGGAATTCTATGGGTTTGGGTTAGAGTAATGGGTAAATATTTAGGAATGAGAAAGTTTTCACACTCTTGAATCATGTAATCATTATATGGTCTCATTATTTATTGTAAGGCATTTGAACCTTTAAGCATTTCAGGAAGCTTAATATTTAAAATCTAGCTTCAAAAGCCAATTCAAAGACAAATCAGAAATATTTGCATTTGTCGTTTTAGATTCTGTACAGTATATTTTCTTCTAATAGTGTGTAAGACTAAACTCTGACTCTTAACTGATTTCCTGTAGTTGCCAGTATTTAAAATGTATTGACTTTTCTTTAAATTCTTTTATAAAGTTCTTAAGACTTTATAATTAATTGTTTATTACTGCTCAGAATTGAAAACAGGGTACTTTGAGGCATTCAACAATTTATATTATCATTGGGTGAAGAGAGCAGCCTACATTTTAGGTATTTTATACAAAATAAAAAATGAATTAATCTAAAATATAACTATAGAAAATGTACAGTAGTATGATCTACTAGTAGAAACCATATGAAATTGCCCTTTTTATAGGTTAAAAATGACTGAATACCAGAAATTTCTTATGGTTAAAATTTATCTAATCTATTCCAGGTCTTGTTTTACTTATCCTAGAATGTAATAAATGGAATAACTAATGCAACTTTAAAAGCTTTTATAAACTTTTAAAAACTTTTATAAACTATCAAGGCAATGTTTGAAAAATCCTTCATACTACCTAAAAAATACTGGCTTAAATACTAGAATGTCAAATACTCTTGAGCCACACTTCTCCACAGGTGAGATAAAATGAGCAAGTTGGCAAGAATTAAGTTCTGAAAATAGAAAAAGTAAAATCCAGTGCAAAACAGAGTGTAAGGTTTGTCTAGAACCTATGGCAAACAAAAAAGGGAAAATAGCCCAGATAATCATTTAATCTACAAAATGTGAAATAATTGCCTTAAGTCTTGTATCTCCCTTCTCACACCTATTGACAAATTCTTGAACTTGCTCTGCCCTGCTTCTTCTCATAATCAACTAAACTTGTATAGGCAGAAGGACCTAAAGTGAATGAGGCCTTTGTATAATATGGCAG